CATACAGATCCCAATGACTGGACAACACACAGCATCAGGAGCAGAACTAACTTTTATTCCACACAACCTCCTTTTAAGCATTTCTCCCATGCAAGGGAGGGATTCACATTCATTAAGACAGTACCCAATGGAATAGCAGCAACCTCCCACACATCTCCTCCCCTTAGTATGACACCTAATCCCATTATACAAGTTATAGTTTTCCCCAAGATCTGGATGTACCCCAAGATTAGCAGGTACACCAATACTTTGGTAATCTGGGTGACTAACATATCCAAAATTCACCCAGATCAGACCAGGGGTTCGGGAGTTAGGTGGAGGGTGAAATTTGACCGACCGCACACGAGGTGGTATCCGAAAAGTGTTCCATGCGTTTTGGCCCTGCGGTCGGTCTCCGTTCGGGAGTTAAAAGACACCTAAAAAACTGACATCCACTAATATATTTATGTTCGCATGACTTCCCTCATTCGGTACTCTAAACTCACCGAACGGGGGGGGCTGATTCGCCTTCCCGTTCGGGAGTTATGGAGCTCTGGAGGTGTCAGCGGTGTTCGTGTAATCAAGTGTCCGATTTGAGTTCCAGACACTCGACAACCAAACACCGCTGAGCCTTTCGTGCGTAAGATGGCCACCGCCACGTGTTCGCATGCCGAATAGCGGCCACCCAGATACATACATAAACCACCTATTAGTCTGCGGTTAGTAAGCACTTTGCAGCTTAACGAGGGACACACTTCACTCTGGGGTGGTCTATTAGTTTGGTAGTTTCCATTCGTATGAAATACAGATGGAAACTACCGAACAATCATACGAATGCTACTTACAATTAAATACACACAGAAACAACACATGAATTTCAGGATTCTCATAGTCTTTAGGACAGCCACAGTTCCATCTGCTACACAAGATTTAAAGCCAACCACTGTACAAAAACCTATAACTAGGAGTTGGTTCTTCAAGAGGAGGTCTGTGCTTAACCCCTTAAGGACCACACTTCTGGAATAAAAGGGAATCATGATATGTCACACATGTCATGTGTCCTTAAGGGGTTAAGACAATGCTTTGTTTCAAGTGGAATATTAAATATAGAGGGAAAATAATAATTGATTGTATTATTTTCTTTTTATATACTGTATATTATTAGGCATACACTTTAAAGAAACACACTGTCACGAATATACCCTTCTTCAAGTGTGTGCGTGGCTTGGTTCTGGTGGCGAAAGGTTAAACTTCATTATTTCTCTGCACAAGACCAGCGATAAAGATAAAGGTCTCCTTTAACACCACCAATACTTAATTATAATAATATAAATATTGCTATCTTATAAGACTGCCACCACCATGACATTTTAAAAATGGGGCGCCTTGCTCCACAACTAAATTATAATAAAACCCCATAAAATACAATTTAGCACAATATCTATGCAATTTCAAAACACTAATAAATTGGTCTCTTTAGGTAATGTGAGTTTTTACCAGACAAAGGCAAAACTTAATAAAATGCATATAACACAGATGACAAACAAATTATTTACACCAAGAACAATTAAACATAAAAAGAATAAAATAATTACTCAAGATTAGATCTTGGCCCCTAGTAACTACACTAAACATTTGGTAAGGTTTGTTTTCCATGTTCTAAGTATGTACAAAATGAGGTATGATTATTCATCTGTGAGTTATTACTAATGCTTCTTTTGGATATTACACTGGTACACAATGCTTCTCTTGAATGCTAATGGTCATTAGCATATCAAAATAACCTATTATCAGAGAGGGGATATAGACATATGGTAAATTACAGGGTTAGTTTACATTGAAACTAGACTTAGAAGCAAATCATATATACAATTTCACACCTTTCAGAGTGTTCTGGATTAACAGCTTCAAAAGATTTGTAAACCTTCTGTTATCTATCAAATTACTATAGAATTTAAATTAACCTTTTCTTACATCTATCCTCTACAATCAAATTGGCCATGCCACCTCTACCAAGTAGTTAATTCATGCATGCACTACACAAAGCATAGTAACCAGGAATATGCTGTAGTGCAACGATGAATTAGGCACACATGTAATGACACACACTAATATTACAAATATTTTTATGTTAAATATATTTTTTAATTTGTTCATTCAAATATATTTATTTTTAACTTAGATGTGTTACATTTTTAATTTAATAAAATAGCAAAGTGGGGGGTGCAGTGTACAGATAAAAAGCAGAACACGTATATACTTATAGTAAAACGTTCCTTTGGCTTAATCTGAAAAACATAAAAAGTCCATACATAGTGTAACACTGTAAAATATAGGACTAGTAGAGGTAGAGGTATTGGGTCACTCACAATAGATAGAGCCTAGAAAGCAGGCTCAAACTTGATGGCATGTGGAAAATCAGCTTTCCCAAGCTTTACAGACTGGCTCCAAACTCCTCCTATAGGTACTGGTGATCTGCTCCAGACGTAGGAAGGATTGATGATTGACCAAAATATAGTGGTATTAAAAAGTATTTACTTTGAATAAAACAATAAAATAAAATGTAATATAAAATAGTATTACATACAATAACACAACGCGTTTCGACTAAATGTCTTTATCAAGTGTATAATGTAGGTCCTCATCCGGCGTTCTTTTTATATCCTCGTTACCGGGAATGTGGTCTTCCCGCCAAAAAGTTCTTCCGGTATGGCGTCATGACGCACGTTCCGTCGTTACGTCATGACGCACGTGACGTCCGTACATCACTTCCTGTAAATTCGCTCGGCGAAACGAGGGCAGCCAGAAACACCATTTTACAAAAGGGCAACAATGTAATATATACATGTACACAAACAAATCTTCAAATAAAATGGAATAAGGACATATTCTCATTGAATACAAACAAATCTTATATAAAAAAGATAATAATAATAATAATAAAAGGGCATTACATAGCAATATATTTAAAATGCAAACATAGTATACCTCCATATTATAACTATATAAAGCTTATAGACATATACAATTAAAAAATATAAGAAATATAAAAACAAATGAGGTTCAAAGAACATATATCTAAAATGGAGAGAAAGAGAAGTAATATTAACCATATTGAATATCAATATATAAAACAATCAGATAAGAGCTTTCATTTCGAAATCGACATTGAGACCATTAGGAGATAAGGTGTCCAGATTGAAAATCCACCTCATCTCACTACGGCTCAAGGCTGATTCTCCATGACCTCCCCTCCAATGGGGTCTAATTTGTTGTATACCATAAAACATAATTCCTGTGGGGTCTCCTCCATGATTTTTTAAAAAATGTAAAGAAACATTATGTTTCAGGAAACCCTTTCTGATATTATATATATGTTCGCGTATTCTAGTTTTAAATGTCCTTGAGGTCCTCCCAACATACTGGAACCCACAAGGACATACGAGAACATATATAATATTCTTAGAGTGGCATGAAATAAAAGAATCTATTTTGTAGTTGTATGATCCTGCACGTGATCTGAAACTTTCTAGTTTTTTGGGTTTATTTTTATATATTTTACACCCCATACAGTCATTACAATAATGAAAACCTTTATCGTTTTCCCTATGAATATTTATAAAATTATTGTTATTCTTAGGTTTATCTAGATAACTAGAAGTTAAAATTTGCCTCAAATTTTTTGCTCCTCTATAGACAATTTTCGGTTTGTTTCCAATATAAGGCAAAATTTCAGTATCCTGTTGTAGGATATGCCAATTTTTGTTAAGAACTTTTTTAAGTGCTATATGTTCTTTACTATAATTAAAAATCATTGGAATCTTCTCACCCTTTTCCTTATTTCTAGTTTTATAAGTTAGAAGAGAATCTCTATTTGTTTCTTTCACCATCCTAATTTCATCTTCTAATTTTTCAGAATTATAACCCCTATGCATAAACTGTTCCTTCAGGGTATTAGCTTGGTCTTCAAAAGAATTCAAATCCGTGCAGTTACGCCGTATCCGAATAAACTGTCCCTTAGGGATATTGTCGAGCCAGGGTAAAAAATGACAACTATCCTTATGGATATAACTATTGACATCCACAGGTTTAAAAAAAGTACGAGTTTTAATAGTCTGGTCCTGTATAAAAATTTCCAAATCTAAAAAATTAATACTCTCTTTAGCAATCTCCTGAGTTAAATGAATATTCCACTGGTTGGAATTTAAAAACTTAATAAAATCCAAAGCCGAAGCTTCATCCCCCTTCCAAATTAAAAAGATGTCATCGATGTATCTTTTATATAGGACCAGGTTCGCACTCCAGTCATGCTGGGAATACACATATCTGTCTTCCCAATAGGACATAAATAAATTAGCATAACTGGGCGCGAACCTGGTCCCCATGGCTGTCCCCCTACATTGTAAAAAAAAGTTATCCTCAAACCAGAAGAAATTGTTATGGAGGATAAGAGATATTCCCTCCATAATAAAGTCAACCTGTTCAACAGGATACAATGTAGAGGATTCTAAAAAGGAACGTGAAGCTAAACATCCTACATCGTGATCAATGCATGTGTACAAGCTAGTGACATCACATGTAATGAATAAAAAGTCTTTTTCCCATTTGAAGTTATTTAAAATTTGTAATAGACTCATAGAGTCCTTCAAATATGACAGACTATGTTTAACTAAGGGTTGGAGGTGAGTATCTACATATTTGGATAAATTAGACAGAAGGGATCCAACCCCTGAGACAATCGGTCTCCCTGGGGGGTTGGATGCATCCTTATGTAATTTAGGTAAGATGTATATAACGGGAATTTTTGGTAATTTTATATCTAGGAAAGTATATTCTTTTTGATTTATAATTCCTTTAGCAAAACCTTTTTCTAAATATTCTTTATATTTTTTATTTATCTCCGTCTGTGGGTTTCCATCTAATTTCCTATATGTATTATGGTCCTCTAATTGTCGTTCGATCTCTGAGATATACTTATCTCTATCCATTACGACCACACCACCTCCCTTATCAGCTGGCTTTATTACTATTTGAGAATCTTTCCCTAAATTCTGCATAGCCTGTCTCTCTTTTTTTGTTAAATTATCTCTCTTATTCATTTTAATTTGTTTGATGTCTTTAACACATGCCCTTTCAAAGACTTTCATAGAATTGGATTTTAAATGTATAGGATAAAAGGATGACTGAGGTTTTAAATCCGTATGATGAAAAAGAGTTGCATTCTCAAAAGTATTGTCTTCCATTTTGGGTTTTTGATTAAAAAAATTTTTAAGACATAATCTCCTCATAAACCTATTAATATCAGTATATGCCTCAAATTTATCCATAATACAACTTGGTGCGAATTTAAAACCTTTATTTAAAACATTTTTCTCATTTAAATTAAGAACCTTTTTAGACAAATTAAAAATCCTTATTTCTTCATGATTTTTTCTTTTCGGTCTCTCCAGTCTCTTTCCTCCTCTATTTCCCCTTCTTCTATATCCCTGTACCGTCTCTTTTGGGGGATGGGAGTTCGAGTAGGAGGTTCCCTCCATCTTTTCTCTAAAAAAGGAATCATTCTCTGATTCTCCAGATCCCTAATTGGTTCAAATCGATTAGAAGTCTCGATTTCTCTCTTTGATCTTAATGGCGGGCTGTTTTCTCTCCTATATTCTAAAGAAAAATTATCCTTCCTTGCTGGAACATATTTTTGTTTATAGTCAGGCCTATTAACTTTCTGATTATATCTCCTTTGCGGTCTGTTATAATCTGTTTCTATCCTTTCTTTGTTATCTCTACGTTTGTACTGATTCCTTTTAACTTCAGTCCACTCCTGGGCTGGACTGTCATACTCAACTCTTCTTTTAACTATTGGATCCTGTCTGACCTCTCTATTTCCATATTTATAATTGACTATATTCGGTCTAGATTTATTTTGATTAAAATTAGTTCTAGGTTTTTTTTTTGCTAAAGGAATTATAAATCAAAAAGAATATACTTTCCTAGATATAAAATTACCAAAAATTCCCGTTATATACATCTTACCTAAATTACATAAGGATGCATCCAACCCCCCAGGGAGACCGATTGTCTCAGGGGTTGGATCCCTTCTGTCTAATTTATCCAAATATGTAGATACTCACCTCCAACCCTTAGTTAAACATAGTCTGTCATATTTGAAGGACTCTATGAGTCTATTACAAATTTTAAATAACTTCAAATGGGAAAAAGACTTTTTATTCATTACATGTGATGTCACTAGCTTGTACACATGCATTGATCACGATGTAGGATGTTTAGCTTCACGTTCCTTTTTAGAATCCTCTACATTGTATCCTGTTGAACAGGTTGACTTTATTATGGAGGGAATATCTCTTATCCTCCATAACAATTTCTTCTGGTTTGAGGATAACTTTTTTTTACAATGTAGGGGGACAGCCATGGGGACCAGGTTCGCGCCCAGTTATGCTAATTTATTTATGTCCTATTGGGAAGACAGATATGTGTATTCCCAGCATGACTGGAGTGCGAACCTGGTCCTATATAAAAGATACATCGATGACATCTTTTTAATTTGGAAGGGGGATGAAGCTTCGGCTTTGGATTTTATTAAGTTTTTAAATTCCAACCAGTGGAATATTCATTTAACTCAGGAGATTGCTAAAGAGAGTATTAATTTTTTAGATTTGGAAATTTTTATACAGGACCAGACTATTAAAACTCGTACTTTTTTTAAACCTGTGGATGTCAATAGTTATATCCATAAGGATAGTTGTCATTTTTTACCCTGGCTCGACAATATCCCTAAGGGACAGTTTATTCGGATACGGCGTAACTGCACGGATTTGAATTCTTTTGAAGACCAAGCTAATACCCTGAAGGAACAGTTTATGCATAGGGGTTATAATTCTGAAAAATTAGAAGATGAAATTAGGATGGTGAAAGAAACAAATAGAGATTCTCTTCTAACTTATAAAACTAGAAATAAGGAAAAGGGTGAGAAGATTCCAATGATTTTTAATTATAGTAAAGAACATATAGCACTTAAAAAAGTTCTTAACAAAAATTGGCATATCCTACAACAGGATACTGAAATTTTGCCTTATATTGGAAACAAACCGAAAATTGTCTATAGAGGAGCAAAAAATTTGAGGCAAATTTTAACTTCTAGTTATCTAGATAAACCTAAGAATAACAATAATTTTATAAATATTCATAGGGAAAACGATAAAGGTTTTCATTATTGTAATGACTGTATGGGGTGTAAAATATATAAAAATAAACCCAAAAAACTAGAAAGTTTCAGATCACGTGCAGGATCATACAACTACAAAATAGATTCTTTTATTTCATGCCACTCTAAGAATATTATATATGTTCTCGTATGTCCTTGTGGGTTCCAGTATGTTGGGAGGACCTCAAGGACATTTAAAACTAGAATACGCGAACATATATATAATATCAGAAAGGGTTTCCTGAAACATAATGTTTCTTTACATTTTTTAAAAAATCATGGAGGAGACCCCACAGGAATTATGTTTTATGGTATACAACAAATTAGACCCCATTGGAGGGGAGGTCATGGAGAATCAGCCTTGAGCCGTAGTGAGATGAGGTGGATTTTCAATCTGGACACCTTATCTCCTAATGGTCTCAATGTCGATTTCGAAATGAAAGCTCTTATCTGATTGTTTTATATATTGATATTCAATATGGTTAATATTACTTCTCTTTCTCTCCATTTTAGATATATGTTCTTTGAACCTCATTTGTTTTTATATTTCTTATATTTTTTAATTGTATATGTCTATAAGCTTTATATAGTTATAATATGGAGGTATACTATGTTTGCATTTTAAATATATTGCTATGTAATGCCCTTTTATTATTATTATTATTATCTTTTTTATATAAGATTTGTTTGTATTCAATGAGAATATGTCCTTATTCCATTTTATTTGAAGATTTGTTTGTGTACATGTATATATTACATTGTTGCCCTTTTGTAAAATGGTGTTTCTGGCTGCCCTCGTTTCGCCGAGCGAATTTACAGGAAGTGATGTACGGACGTCACGTGCGTCATGACGTAACGACGGAACGTGCGTCATGACGCCATACCGGAAGAACTTTTTGGCGGGAAGACCACATTCCCGGTAACGAGGATATAAAAAGAACGCCGGATGAGGACCTACATTATACACTTGATAAAGACATTTAGTCGAAACGCGTTGTGTTATTGTATGTAATACTATTTTATATTACATTTTATTTTATTGTTTTATTCAAAGTAAATACTTTTTAATACCACTATATTTTGGTCAATCATCAATCCTTCCTACGTCTGGAGCAGATCACCAGTACCTATAGGAGGAGTTTGGAGCCAGTCTGTAAAGCTTGGGAAAGCTGATTTTCCACATGCCATCAAGTTTGAGCCTGCTTTCTAGGCTCTATCTATTGTGAGTGACCCAATACCTCTACCTCTACTAGTCCTATATTTTACAGTGTTACACTATGTATGGACTTTTTATGTTTTTCAGATTAAGCCAAAGGAACGTTTTACTATAAGTATATACGTGTTCTGCTTTTTATCTGTACACTGCACCCCCCACTTTGCTATTTTATTTTATTACTGTTTGTAAGTGTCTTTTGAGTGATTTATAGACACTGGGGGTAGTTGCTGCTCTGTTCTCTAGCGCCAATCCACCTATATCTATTCCTTCCCTTGTGGTGGAATTTTGTTGTTTTTTGGTTACATTTTTAATTTAGATTATGGGCCTTTCCTTGTTACAAAAAAGTTTCAGAATGCAGTAAAACATATTATGCAGCTAAACTGTATTAAAATGGTGTTACAACTTTCCTAGGTCCTGTCTGGTGCCCACCACCATACAGCTTCATTACACGAGAATCCATTTAGCTTCCTTGAGGGCCACTCTTATTGGCTATGCAGGACCACCTGAGCCTGATTTCCCATACAATTACTGAGGACATGGCCTTTGAGTGGCAGGGAAAAGGGAGGCAGCATGGCTGGTGGGGAGATCACCAATATTCCTAAACTGTCAGCCCCTTCTCATGCCATGGGCTGGAGAGGCAAAGCCAGTCATCGAGCCTGAAACTGTGTGAGGCTGAGCTAGATGGTGTGGATGGAGGCAGAGCAAGCAACCCAAAGAACAGAAATAAATAGAAGAAGGCAGGAGCAGAGAGGAGCAGGCACCAACAGATCCATGACACAGGACACACAGCTCTATGGTAACTGAATTTGATAAATGTCATGGGCACAGACCACCTATATTGCTTCCTTGAGGGTTACCATGGGTTAATATAGCAATATTTAAGTAGAAGGAGCACTTATGGACCTCTTATTTACCCCTTCCTGATGCAAATTAAGCAAGTGGGAGGGTAAATAAACTTAACTTTTTAATAAAAAAAACTCCCTCCCACACCCACTATGTCCCCTCAACAGATCATTTTTGTCCCAACACACACAACAGTTCCTACCACTCCCAAACACACACAGAATTCCTAATATCCATGTGTCACACATACATTACAGCTCCAATTTCTACTTCACACACACTGCAGCCCCAATTTAACCCTCAAACACACACTGTAGCTCCCTAGACACACATTATAGCTTCTGCTTCCTAAACAAACACACTACAGTCTCTACCACTATATATGCAATCTCCCCCGTAATCCTCCATTATGTACCCACCACATATGCAACCCCTGAAGCAGCATCTATCCCGAAACACAGCTCCAGAAGCAAACAATGACATAATTAGCCTGCCCTCACACACAAAACCAGAAGCAGCATACCCACAAATAGATAACACCACAAACAGCCTACACACATACACTCTCTCCCAGCTCTGTCCTACTTTCACCATCCAATCATATCCCAAGCTAGTCAAATTCCCACAAACAGTTAAATACCCAAAACTAGTCCTATTCACCAATCTTATCACATACTCCAATCTTTTTACAAATGTATATGTGACAAACTCCCCTTCCCACGTGAGTTTGCCATGAGCTCCTGGAGGAGCCTGCTTGCCCGCCTCCTGCCCACAGACTATGGGCACTGCAGGGAAACCTGTAAAAGACTGTTTAATTGGCTTGGTTCGTGTAATTTCCTTATCCCGTTCGGGAACCGAACAACCACATGAACAAGGGACCACCCGGGAGATTGTTAACCCCTATTAACACCTTGGAACGGTTCTCACCTCAGTGTTCTAATTGTTCGTCTGGGTGGCCGCAACTTGTATGAACAACCACAAGGTGGTGGCCATCTTGTTGGCATAAATTCAGGCAGCAGTGTTTGGTCGTTGAGTTCATGGAACTAAAATCAAACACTGAATCTCCCGAACACTACTGGACTTCCATCATGGCCTGTGTTCGGTTTTGTAGATCCTAGAAGAACACTGTTCGGTGGAATCATTCATCTGGATCAAATAGAGACTACGTTTAGTAGTTTACCGACTGCTAGCACTGATTCATGGAACTATTTTGGGCTTAAGCCACATGTGCGGTCTGTCAAAAACGGGACTTCCATGAAAAACCCGAACCCCTGAACCGATCTGGGTGATTTTTGGATATGTTAGTCACCCAGATCGGAGCTATCAGGGGATGTGACTTTTTGGGGTTTTCGTGTATTTTATGTGTATTTTTGGATGTTTTGTAAATTGTTATATTTTCTGTCCCTGAGAGATAATTAACTTATAAGTGTTTGCTCAGGTAATTATCTCTCAGGCACTGAAGATCCTGGGAGGGATTTTCCTGTTGTTTTGTGTGGGAGATCCCTTGTAGGGGCTATTGTATGAAAGCAGGCCATCTGGCCATATTAAAGCATTACAGTTTATACTCCCAGAACTATGTGTCGTCTGGTTACTGGGAGGGGAAAGGGCTAATCACTGTTCCAGCTCCCAGGACTTTCAGCAGGGAAAGTCATTGTAAGGACACCAGCTCCCAGGACTGTGTGTCATCCAGGTTACTGATATATAGGCTATGTCACACAGTACCACCATCCTCTATGCCTAAGGTGTGCAAGACGGCAGCCACACATCACATGAGATGTGGAGTTGGACAAAAGTGGCTTTGTGAGATGTCTTCCTGGAGCTACTGCTCACAGACAGGAGATGTATTTGTAATATTGTTAAGTTAGCAAATCAGGAAAGGGAATTGAATGCAGTTATGAATCTAGGGACAAATGATTTGTCTTGCAATGAGGTTTCAGAGGTAAAGGAAGTTTATGTGTTCTTGTCAATGGTATATGGCAGCTTGTGTCCACATTTAAATTCCCTAAAGTTCTGCCTGTGTATCACATTCAAAATTACAGGCTGATGCGTATAAGAGACTTTAACTTGTGGTTTAGTGAATGGTGTCAGGAGCAAATATTTGATTTAATTTCTCATGGTAGCTCTATTTGGAATAGAAATGTACTGTACAAAAAAGATGGTTTGCATCTTTCTCAAAAGGGAACAAATGTTTTCACTGAGCAGTTCAGAGGTTTTGCTATGATGTATTTAAACTAGGAGGAGGGGGGGTTGGGGGGGGGGACAAAAGAACATCAATCCAATTGCCTCCCAAAGCAAGGACAGAAAGTAACTGTAGCGAGTGTGGTAAAAAAAATTACAAGCATAAAGTCATGTCTGCAAATGTTCACAGTTTAGGGAATTAGGTCTATGACGTTCTGGCAATAATGGCAACTGAGAATGTAGATTTAGTGGCTGTTACTAAGACATGGTATAATGAGAAAAATGACTGGGATATAGCAATTCCAGGGTACTCTTTGTATTGAAAAGACATAGACGACAAGAAAGGGGAGGGATGGCCCTGTATGTGAAAGATAGCATAAAATCTAACCTAATAAAAGTTAGTGAGGCAAAAACAGTCAGTTTGGGTTACGTTAAAATTTGGTAATCACACAGTAACTCGCGTAAGTGTGATTTACAGGCCCCCTGGACAAATAGAAGAGTTAGATCATCTACTATTTGAGGAAATAGCTAAAATGACATTAAAGAGATAAGTTATCATCATGGGTGACTTTAATCTTCCTGATGTGAACTGAAAAAACAGAATAGCTGCTTGTGCTAGGAGCACATATATTCTAAACTTCAACTTGTAAGGAGGCCATGCTAAATTTAGTATTAACAAATGGAGATGTGGTGCTAGCAAATGGAGATTTCGTATAAGATGTTACTGTAGGTGAAATTTAAGGATCTAGTGATCACCAGTCAGTGTGGTTTAATATAAGAACAGTGACTGAGTCACAACACACAAAATGAAAGTTTTAGATTTTAGAAAAACAAACTGTTCCAAAATTAGAATATGCATAATAGAGTCAATATCAGACTGGAACAGTTTAAATGGAGTCCAGGAGAAATTAGATTATTTAAAAGTTGCACTACTTAAAGCAAAAGCAAATTACATTAGGCTTGTCAGTAAGAGCAGAAAAGAAATCACTGTGGTACTCTGCAGAAGTGGCCAAAATGGTAAAAAGCAAAATGTTAGCATTTAGTAATTATAAAAAAAACTCAGTGAGAAAGATAGACAGATCTATGAGATTAGGCAGAAAAAGGCAAAGCAATTTACAAGAAATCCCAAAGCACACACAGAAGAGACAATAGAACAGTCAGTTAAAAAGGGGGATAAAACATTTTTTAGAAACATAAATGAGAAAAGGAATGTAAAACAAGCATTAGTTAGATTAAAAATAAAAAAGAAGGAAGGTATGTAAGGGATGATAAAGGTCTAGCTGTCTGCTTCAATGACTATTTTTGTACAGTATTTACAGATGAAAAGGAAAGGGACAAATGAGTAATTTCTTATATGTGCATTTACAGAGGAATATGTTCTATTTCAAAGTAAAGACAAATCATTTGATAGGGCCTAATGGGATACACCCAAAGTTATTGAAAGAGCTTAGTGGTCTACTAGCAAAACCATTAACACATTTATTTAACCAATCATTGTTAACAGGAGTAGTACCAGAAGATTGGAAATTATTGAATGTAGAAAGGTAGTAGGGAGGAGTAAGCCTTACTTCAGTAGTAAGGAAAATTATGGAAACCATGTTAAAGGATAGGATTGTTGAACAACTAAAATCATATGGATTTATACCCTTAGTGACCAGACCATTTTTCAACTTTCTTACCGTTAAGGACCTGGGCTCTTTTTAGATTTCTGCAATGTTTGTGTTTAGCTGTAATTTTCCTCTTACTCATTTACTGTACGACACATATTATATACCGTTTTTCTCGCCATTAAATGGTCTTTCTATTATTTATTATTTTTATCATATCATATAATTTACTTTAAAAAAATATATAATATATGATGAAATTTTTTTTTTTTTTAAAACACACTTTTTTGACCTCTAAAATCTGTTACTCATCTACAACCACCAAAAAACACCTGTGCTAAATAGTTTCTAAATGCTGTCCTGAGTTTATAAATACCCAATGTTAACATGTTCTTAGCTTTTTTTTGGAAAGCTATAGGGCTCTAAGTAAAAGTAGCACTTTGCTATTTCCAAACTGTTGTGGAAATAAGGTCTGCACATATTTCCTAGATAGAGAAAAATGTCTATTTACTCATTTCATGAAATATATGTATCGCATAAAACTAAACACATATTTTAATCAAGATGGCTGCTAGAAGCTTCTAATCCCTCCTTCCCCCTCCCTTCCCCTCCTAACGTCGACTAACTACCTCGTGCATCAAGATGGCGCCGGGAAACCGTGGGAGACCCTCATGGCCCCGGTGACATCACCTACAGTAGGCAGAGCATTAGAGCAAGCACTTAACACCTAACCAATTATTGATGTATTATTCCATGTTATCTCTGACAATGCATATGATGTAATTTTGCTTTAAAAGGGACTTGCCGTCCCCTCTGAATAAACATTCCTCAAGTTATTCAACAACCTGGAACCTGTGTCTGGTGTGAATTACTTCAGGGAGCGTGCACGCATTGTTTCATTGATTTGGCCAGGGGCAGATACACAAAGAAATAATCAATACTTTAATTGATTTTTCCACTTCAATTGGCGCCCAACGTGGGGCCACCGGAGCGCCGGTTCGGAGGGCCGGAACCAGCGGACCGGAGCGGACCTCCGGAAAGTGGGACAAGCGGAGCCTGATCACCTCCATAATACAGCCGTTGCCTGTGTTATTTTTCCTGTTTTGTGTCGGTCTGCCTCCGGGTCCACTTCCGGCTTCCAGAAGGCTACTAGAGACAGGTAACTAACTCATCCGGTGTGCCCTTTTTAAGCGAACCTGTCGATTGTCTATCTGCCTCCTGTATTCGTAATATGTGTATGTGTGCTCATTTTTCTATATTTTATGTTAGCTTGACTGCCTAGCGGGCAGGGAACGCATTACAGCCGGTGGGGCTGGGATTTTATGTTAGCTTGACTGCCTAGCGGGCAGGGAACGCATTACAGCCGGTGGGGCTGGGATTTTATGTTAGCTTGACTGCCTGGCGGGCAGGGAACGCATTACAGCCGGTGGGGCTGGGATTTTATGTTAGCTTGACTGCCTGGCGGGCAGGGAACGCATTACAGCCGGTGGGGCTGGGATTTTATGTTAGCTTGACTGCCTGGCGGGCAGGGAACGCATTACAGCCGGTGGGGCTGGGATTTTATGTTAGCTTGACTGCCTGGCGGGCAGGGAACGCATTACAGCCGGTGGGGCTGGGATTTTATGTTAGCTTGACTGCCTGGCGGGCAGGGAACGCATTACAGCCGGTGGGGCTGGGATTTTATGTTAGCTTGACTGCCTGGCGGGCAGGGAACGCATTACAGCCGGTGGGGCTGGGATTTTATGTTAGCTTGACTGCCTAGCGGGCAGGGAACGCATTACAGCCGGTGGGGCTGGGATTTTATGTTAGCTTGACTGCCTGGCGGGCAGGGAACGCATTACAGCCGGTGGGGCTGGGATTTTATGTTAGCTTGACTGCCTGGCGGGCAGGGAACGCATTACAGCCGGTGGGGCTGGGATTTTATGTTAGCTTGACTGCCTAGCGGGCAGGGAACGCATTACAGCCGGTGGGGCTGGGATTTTATGTTAGCTTGACTGCCTGGCGGGCAGGGAACGCATTACAGCCGGTGGGGCTGGGATTTTGTACAATTCTTGCATGATTTCATTAGTGCTTGTGTTATAACAGAGCTGGGGATTGTTACACGGTGGGTATTGGTACCAGTGGTGTTAACATGTACATGGCCATTTTACTTTCTATCATCCTGTGGTTTTTGTTTAATTGTTGTTACAGTGTGGGTACCCTCGGTGTGTGTGTGTGTGTTGTGTGGTTGGTTCTGGATTCCGGAGTTTACGCTCATTTATATGTTTGTGATTTTTGCAAATGTCTTCTCATTAGCGCAGCCACGTTCATATTCTCCTTTGTTCTTTATCTTTCCTGCGCCTGTTGCCCTGAGCTGTGTTAGTCACCCACGCTCATTCGCTCCCGTCCGTGACCACCACCCCGGGTGGGCGGATCCCTGTGACTAGTCTACGTTTGGGGAAGACGCACAGAGCTCAAGCTCTCGTGGCAGTCGAGCACTGTAGACATTCTTTTTCCTTTCCCCTCAGTACCTCCTCTATTCTTCTGTCTTCACCACGTGACACGCTTTGTTTATATAAGATGGGGCAGGAACATGCTAGACCTGCTAAGGGCTTGTTGGCTTGTGATATTGTAAAAGAAAGGGCAGGAGAGGATGCAATGTTGAAACTTAAAAAGATTGCCAAGGTGTGTGGCTTCCAAATGTTGCCTAGTGGAAGGTTACAGCCTGAGTTTTGGAGAAAGTTGCTCACAGACAAGGAAGGTTTGTTGTTGGATAACGGACTCACTAAGGTTGCAGAGGCTTGGTACCGGGTAGCCAGAGGGTTGAAACGAGAGGGATGGGTCAAGGAAGAGTTGGAGTTTGAGGGACAGATTGTATATGTTTACCATAGGAATGCTAACAATGATGATGTTGTTTCTATTGTTCCACGACCACCGCCCTATGATGGCGCCCAGGGTGCAGCTTCAACCTCCCGCCCTGCTTCCCCCGTCACAGCGCATACCACACCCCCCGGAGGTGTTCCTTCAGCTCCCACTCCCCTTTGCCCCGTGCTCGGCGCGGATGGTGCTTACTATTTCCCGATGCCACTCCACTCGTTCCCACCCACTCCCATGCATCAGCCCTCCTGCAGCCCCGCCTCCTCCTCCTCCGTTATGCCCGTAGAAGCCCCCCCATCTCCCTTGTTGTCTCCCCCTGTGCCTGTGCTCACTCCAGCTCCTCGTCAAGACTCTACCCCACCTATTCCCGTTTTACCTGTCGAAGCCTCCTCCTCCTCCTTCTCCTCATCCACCCTTTCCTCATCGAGTACCCTACCCTCAGTGATACCCGTTCCCACACCCTCCTTGTCCGGACCCTCGACCCTTGCCCATTCCGCTGATCCGGACCCCTGTCTGCCCCCGGACCCTCCTTCTCCCGTACCTCCAGACCCAGACCTCCCCTCCCTCCTCGCTAGCCTCTCGAAGGTGCTTGCCCAGCCCGTTAACCCCAGCTCCCTAGCCCCTGCTCCCTTACATTCAGACGCCCCTTCTACCCTCCAGAACCCTCCCGCTAACCACACAGTGCGTGCCCTGACCCAACCCCTCGTTACCGCCCCTTCTCCAGTGTTACCTCCTCCCGAAGTCCCGGTCCCCTCCACCCCATTGTCCCCTCCTCCCTCGGCTGATTTGCCGTCCTTACTCTCTGCCCTCACAGCCCTGACCCAACCCCTCGTTACCGCCCCTTCTCCAGTGTTACCTCCTCCCGAAGTCCCGGTCCCCTCCACCCCATTGTCCCCTCCTCCCTCGGCTGATTTGCCGTCCTTACTCTCTGCCCTCACTGCCCTGACCCAACCCCCCGTTACCGCCCCTTCTCCAGTGTTACCTCCTCCCTCGGTGGCTCCCGACCCGTCTGTGACCAATGACCTGCCTGGTTCAATCTCCGCCCTCTTCTCTGCTGTTACTTCCCTGGTTAATTCAGCGATTCCTACTTCACCTCCCACTGATTTGCCTCCTCCTCCTCCTCCTCCCCCCGAACCTCCGACCCCTCCCTCATCTTCCGCTAATGTCCCCGAGCCTTCCGACCCAATCACTGCCCTTGCTCACGTCCTGAACACCCACCTCTCACGCCCACCCCATCCGGCCCTCACGATAGCCCCCTCCACGGCATTGGCCCCTCATGCCCCTCTCGCCAGTCCCAGTTACCCAATCATGGTGGTTGGGTCCGAGGTGTCAGTGACATCGGACCAGCCCTATGCGATGGGTGCCTCCCCCCAGGCCTCGGGCTTCCACCCAACTACCTCTCCCGCTGCAGGCCTCCCTATTACAGCTACCCCCGAGACTACCCCGCACCGCGGCCCGGTGGTGCCCGAGGAGGTCGCTGTTGTGGACCAGGGCTCACCTCACTTAGGGGGGAGCAGACCACCACAACGGCGCTCCATCCCCCAGGGGTATACCCAGATTACCCATGGCGCTGATGGTGCACCACCCATGTATGTTACCTTTAACCCTTCCCAAGCTGCTACCCTTGTGACTTCACTCCCTGACCCTGAGAAGCACCCCATGCCCTTTTTCCGCCGGATGGCTCAGATCCGCAAAACATACTCCGCTGCTTGGCGGGATCTCATAAGTTTATGTGAAATAAAGGCTGGTGATGCATACTGGCCAATCATGGAACGGAGCTTTAGCGATGCTCCTCTTACTTCTGATACTGATTTTCGCTCTGGTGAAGTTTTCTGTGAACAGCTCCGAGCCTGGGCTCAGGATAAACTAGCTGATCAGGCTACTTGCATAAATGATATTCTTCAGGACAAACTTGAGACCGTTGAAAAGTACCACTCTAGGTTAACTCAGACTTTTTCAGATTTGGGATTCAGCTCCTATAATAAAGCACACACTCAGATGCTTTCTGCAGCGTTTGTGGCAGGCCTCAAGGAACATATTCGTAAAGGGTTAATCCTAGCTCGCCCTGAGTATAGAATTATTCCACTGGATACTCTTTTGTTGGTAGCCAAGGGTTTGGAAACAGTTTTACAACCCACACCACGTAGAACTAATCCTTTGATGTACACTACCTCCACTCCCATCACAGGTTCTAACCAACCACCTCAGTTACCCCTCCAACAGTACCACCAACCACCCCAGACACTGCCTGCACCACTTCCCTTTCCCAGAGACCGGACATTCACAACAATCAGGTCCTGTTATAATTGTAACCAACCCGGACACTTTAGAAGGGATTGTCCACAGCCGAGGGTGTTCCGTCAGCAGACTTCCCGGTACACTGGTCCCCATGTCACCAGCTATAACTTCCCTTCCACTGGTTATCTCCCTGCCCTACCCCTTCCACAGTTGCCCCAGCTTCCCCCTCCTCCACCTCCTCCGCCTCCTGAGTACACCCATGCCCGGCCACCCACATCAGATGCTCGTGCTTACTCCTCGCCCTCTGGCGAGGGGTATGACAACGAGGATTTCCAAGACAGTCTGGCACAGCCCCGTCACGCTACCCGTCCATCTCGCCCACCTACCCATTCTGCTATCCCCCCTTCCACTTCCCGCAGGTACCAAGGACCGGACCAAGCCCATTTAGATTTGTTGCAATAGGTAACCGGCAAGCCTGTGTCGGCAACCCCTGCCATGGCAGTGTCTGCGGGGGATGGGGGTGGGCCTTTAGCTACTGTAGTTCTCCCCGTAGAAGGCCATCCAACCACCTTTCTAGTTGACACAGGTGCAGCCCGTAGTGTTCTTAGGGAACAAGACCTGCCTGACCCTTCCTTTTTATCTGACACTGATGTCTCCTGTGTTGGGGTAGATGGTACACCTCGCAGTAACCCCCTTACTAAACTCTTACACGTAGGATCACACATCCTCTCCCGGTTTGTTGTTTCCTCTACCTGTCCCATTAACCTCCTAGGTGCCGATGTTCTCTCTCGGCTTCAGGCTTCCATTACTTTCACTGCAGATGGCCAAGTCGAGTTGACAACCCCCCTATCACAAAAGGATACCTCTGCCCTCTGTTCCCTCCCTATCCTGCTGAACATAACTGACAACGCAGGGAATGCACGGGTCACACACACCCCCAGTGCTCTGGATCGGGTCCCCCAAGAACTTTGGTCTACCGGCCCGGATGATATTGGCCGCTTACACATACCCCCAGTCCTGGTTCACCTCCTGCCTGGGGCACTACCCCCCCCGTAGACCACAGTATCCTCTGAAGCCAGCACAAGCTGACGCCATCACCAAGCAAGTTGACAGCCTACTTGCCAAAGGTGCCCTCATCAAGTGCACATCTCCTTGCAACACCCCTCTTTTTCCTGTCAAAAAGCGCACTGTTAAAGGTCAGCCTGACCAGTACCGCATGGTGCAAGACCTTCGTGCTGTCAATGAAGTCACCATAAAGGACACTGCTATTGTTCCAAATCCACATACCCTCTTGTCCCAAGTCTCACCAACTTCTACTATATTCACTGTGGTGGATTTAGCCAATGCCTTTTTCAGTGTTCCACTTGACCCTTCCTGCCGTTTTCTTTTTGCTTTCACACATGAAGGGCAACAATACACCTGGACTGTTATGCCACAGGGTGCTCAGAACTCTCCCACACAGTTTGCTCATGCCATGTCTCTTGTTCTCGATCCCTGGCAGAAATCTCATCTGGATGTTGTCCTACTTCAATATGTTGATGATCTACTTCTCTGTGCTCCTGATTTGCTCACTGCAGAGCGTGACTCAGAAGACCTCCTGTGTTTCCTCGCTGCAGCAGGTTGCAAAGCTTCAAAATCAAAACTACAATGGTGCCGGCCATCTGTGGTCTTCTTGGGACACTGCCTTTCCCATGGCACCAAACATCTGACTTCTCAACGTGTGCAAGCTATTCTGCACCTCCCTCTACCTGCAACACATCAGACTCTTCATGCTTTTTTGGGTCTTATAACATACTGCAGATCCTGGATCCCAGAAGCATCAAAACTCATGCAACCACTCTATGATACCCTCAGGAGTGAACCCTTCCACCTTACTGAAGAAACTATCACCTGTTTCCACAACCTGAAAAGAGCTATTGCCTCAGCACCTGCCTTGGGCCTTCCCAACTACCATCTTCCTTTCAATCTGTTTGTCTCTGAGAAATCAGGACATGCTTCAGGGGTTCTCACTCAGAAACATGGGTCAAGACAACGCCCTATTGGCTATTTTTCCTGCATGCTTGACCCTGTAGCGAGAGGTAGCCCCTCCTGCCTACGAGCGGTGTTTGCCGCCAGCGCCCTCCTTGACAAGACCAATGATTTTGTTCTCGGCCACCACCTTACAGTGTTGGCCCCTCATGACATTACTGCCATCCTGCAACAAACCCAACCAAAGCACCTTTCCTCCCAGCGCCACCTTCGCCTACAGACTTCCTTGCTCCTACCTGACAATGTTAAACTTCAGAGATGTCTTTCCCTGAATCCTGCCACTCTTCTGCCACTTCCCAAGGGGGGAATTGTCTATCATTGGTACAGCCTGGATATCAACCCAGAAATTCAAGCAGACCTACAGTTGCCTGTACTTACACCCCCACATGATGAACAACCAGAGGCCCTACTCCACTGCACACTGTGGTTTACGGATGTACCAAGCCCTGACATGAACTATGAAGAAGAACTATTCCAGCTCAAAGAAATTCAAATTTCCCTGACTGATTTATTCTGGGACTCTACAGGTACAATGCTTGTCTTGGTTTGCCTCCCAGAGAATGTAACACACCTCTATCACCACTGGGATACAGCTATTCCACACATATCTCTCACCAGATCCCACAACACCTCATGGAAGGACTTAGGCCCGATGGCCAGAACATGGAACCAAATGACTCAAGCACAACTAACTTCTGCAGGGATTAGCAAAAAGACCATTGATTACTGTACAACAGGGTACCCCAGGTACCACACAGAGGCCTGTGAGGACCCACTTACCATGGATTGTGACTTCATTGATATCCCTCATGACTGTTTTGAACAAATGAAAATGGAAACTACACACCTACCAACTGTTTATGAAGCTGCATTACTTAATCCGGATCAAACATTATTTGTGGATGGCTCAAGATTTGCTGATGAACAAGGACAGTATCACACTGGATATGCAGTCACCACAGGATGTCACGTATTACAAGCAGCTGCTCTACAACCAACCAAGTCTGCCCAAGAAGCAGAGTTGACAGCTCTGACCGTGGCTTGCAAACTGTCTGAAGGTCTACGTGTCAACATTTATACAGACTCAAGATATGCCCTGGGAGTGGCACATGACTTCGGTTTAATTTGGAAGACCAGAGGATTTCTTACAGCTACTGGTACCCCGGTAAAACATGGGGTAACTATTGCAGAACTAATGGATGCATTAGAACTTCCAGCAGAAGTGGCAGTATTGAAAGTAAAAGCCCACGGAAAATTGGATACAGAAGAAGCACGTGGAAACCACTTGGCTGATCAGGCAGCTAAAGAGGCAGCACGGCAAGGATGGGAAGTGGACAGAAGAGTGGCTACAGATGCATTACCTATCTACACTATGCAAACATTGCCTACTGACCTCAGGCTCCTGAAGGAACAACAAGCTGCTGCTACCCCACAGGAGAAACAAAGTTGGAAGAACAAAGGAGCTGTACTCCGTGATGATGTTTACACTATCAATCTCAAGTTTTGCCTACCCAGAAACATGTATCCAGCGGTGGTCCAATGGGCCCATGGGCCAGCCCACCTGTCAAAACTTCTGATGAACTCGCTGATTGACAAGTATTTTGAAGCACCAGGCATCACCACTTTAACACAGAATTATTGTAAATCCTGTACTATATGTGCTAAATGCAATCCTGGGAAAGTTATAAAGACTGCACCTAATCACCTAGCCAAACCACAATATCCCTTTCAGAGGATTCAGATTGATCACATTCAGATGCCAAAGAGCGGACGTTATGATTATGCATTGGTCATAGTGGACATGTTTTCAGGATGGCCAGAGGCTTTCCCAGTGACCAACCTCACCGCAAGGACTACAGCCAAGTACCTTCTGACGGAAATTGTTTGCCGCTATGGAGTTCCAGAAGTGATTGAAAGTGACCAGGGAACCTCTTTTACTGCCTCGCTAACACGGGAAGTCTGGTCAGCACTGGGGGTGACCCTTGCATTCCATACACCATATCACCCACAGAGTAGTGGCAAGGTAGAGCGCATGAATGGCACTTTGAAAGCCAGAATGCTTAAAATGTCACAAGAGACTAACATGCCCTGGCCCGAGAGTCTCCCATTAGCATTGTTTAGTGTGAGGTACACTCCTAGGGGGAAATACAGCCTGTCACCTTATGAGATTCTGTTTGGTACAGCACCCAGGTTAGGTTGTTACTTTCCCCAACAGCTTCAGATCCAATCAGATGCTATGGTAGACTATGTGACAGCCCTTTCACATGCCTTGACCAAGATACATGCCCAAGTGTTTTCTTCTATTCCAGATCCTGAGTCGAATACAGGTACACACAAGCTGCTTCCGGGTGACTGGGTTATGGTTAAGAAGTTCCTCAGAAAGCACACCTTAGAACCGAGATTTGATGGTCCTTACCAAGTGCTCCTGATTACAGCAACGTCAGTTAAGCTAGCTGGGAAGAGTTCTTGGATACACGCTTCACATTGCAAAAAAGTTCCTGCTCCAGAAGAGACTGATCCTACTGATCCTGTTGAAAAATGAATTTATTATGTGTCTTGTGTTTTCTTATGCTACTACATTTTGCCTGGGCCCAACAAGTGGCCATAACCAAAGATAATCATGTTTACACTTTTTGGTACAATTCTTCTAATACTGATGTGGCTACATACACCTTTGACTATTGTGACATAGTCACTTGTACATTCCCACAAACACAACATGCAACTATATATAAGGACATTCCTAACAAAAAGGACCCATACATTTGTGTGACTGGAGGAGTTTGGGGTCACCACTGTAGTTCATGGAAAGCTGCCGGGTGGAACACAGGTAGACCATGGGGTTACAGACCTCAAGTCGCATTAGACAAACTTGACAAAGATGGGAAACCCTTACTCTCTAGAATGACCCTAAGTAAACCCATAGGGTCAACTCCCATTAAACTCACCTTGAATATAGAACACCCTAGCCCGAGGGATGCAGGGGAGTATGTGATGGGAATGTACTGGAAGGGAGGCGGATCACATAACGCATTGGGGACCTTTTACCTGCAAGATATGTTAAATTCTTCTGACTGGGTAGGAACCACACATATGGTCATTAACCCATTAAAACCACATATCAAGACCCTACATGACATGGTGGCCATAGCTAACCCCACTTTTGAGGATACCATGGCAGTAGAAACAGGGTTTTCAGACACTAATTTGTGGCTAGAATGGATGAGGTACAACGCAAACTCACACAATAAGACTAATTGTTACGTATGTGGAGGTGCCAGACCCCATCTGGGCACAGTACCTCTGACCTTACCCCCCGAAATAGAATCATGTGTACTGAGTTTGTATGCACAATCTATCACCAACTCCTCAACATGTGAATCCTGGAAGAAGGTTTACCCAATCACCCATGGACATGTGAAACCACCTGATGGAGTCACCATCTACCCAGGTAATTACACATGCTATTCAATACCTGAGAACACTGGTTTGTATCTGGGCAAATTCCCATCAGGATACTGCTCAACTTACCATAGTCCACCTGTATCTCTACTAATGAATCACACACAGACAATCGGTGATATCTATTGGTTATGTGGTGACAAACAATTGAGGTCCCAATTAGCTGGGCAATGGTGGGGGGAGTGTGCCCTAACCAAAGTCATAATGCCTATCCACATTATTCCAGATGGTAGTCATAACACTTTAAACCTCACGCATATACACCCTAGAACCAAACGAGAGGCTCCTATCCGAGGGAGCTTCGACCCCCATGTATATATTGATGCCATAGGTGTGCCTAGGGGGGTGCCCAACGAATTCAAAGCAAGAGATGAAGTAGCTGCAGGATTTGAATCCCTAATTCCAATGATAACGGCTAATAAAAATGTCAATTGGATCAACTATATCTATTATAATCAGCAGCGCTTTGTCAATTATACGAGGGATGCCCTACAGGGCCTAGCAGAACAGCTACAAGCCACAACCCAAATGACATTTCAGAATAGAATGGCCCTAGATATGATTTTAGCTGAGAAGGGGGGGGTATGTAAAATCCTCCCTGAAACCATGACATGTTGCACATACATTCCAGACAACACTGGGCCCAATGGTAAGGTGACTACGGCCATAGAGAAGCTAGATAGTCTTGCAGACGAATTAAAGAAGAATTCGGGAGCCACGGACATATGGGACAAATGGTTTGGGTGGATGAATGGCTGGCAAAAGACCCTCTTCCAGGTGGGGACAGCTGTTTTTATAGTGTTCATTATCTTCTTGTTTTTAGCCTGTTGCATACTCCCCTGCATACAGAAATATCTGCAGAAAGCAGTGGATAAGACTGTGGATAACGTGACCCCTACCTTCCTACATCAAGATATCACAGACCTCGAAGATGACACCCCACATACACCCCTACAAGCACATCAGTTTAAACAGACAACTGCCTTTCTATAGGGATAGAGTAGGGAAAGCGTCTGTCTTGACAGGTGAGTCTCACGTGTGGAGATGTAGTGGGCTAGCCACTGCGGGATACCCGCGGAGTGAAGCGTTCGATGCTTGTCAAGACAGATAGGTTGCGGGCAACTAGGGACATATTAGGGACAGCGGCAGTTGTTATGGTAAATAGCCATTTTAGGGGGGACTGTTGTGGAAATAAGGTCTGCACATATTTCCTAGATAGAGAAAAATGTCTATTTACTCATTTCATGAAATATATGTATCGCATAAAACTAAACACATATTTTAATCAAGATGGCTGCTAGAAGCTTCTAATCCCTCCTTCCCCCTCCCTTCCCCTCCTAACGTCGACTAACTACCTCGTGCATCAAGATGGCGCCGGAAAAACCGTGGGAGACCCTCATGGCCCCGGTGACATCACCTACAGTAGGCAGAGCATTAGAGCAAGCACTTAATACCTAACCAATTATTGATGTATTATTCCATGTTATCTCTGACAATGCATATGATGTAATTTTGCTTTAAAAGGGACTTGCCGTCCCCTCTGAATAAACATTCCTCAAGTTATTCAACAACCTGGAACCTGTGTCTGGTGTGAATTACTTCAGGGAGCGTGCACGCACTGTTTCATTGATTTGGCCAGGGGCAGATACACAAAGAAATAATCAATACTTTAATTGATTTTTCCACTTCAAAATCATTTTTTTTCAAAATTAACGCACGTTACATTGTAACACTGATATCTGTCAGTAATCCCTGAATAACCCTTCACATTTACATATTTTTTAAAAGAAGACAACCTAAGGTATTAAACTTGGGGTATTTTGACTCTTTTCATGCAACCATTTTACCATCAATCTATGCCAAATTTAAAAAATAATTGATGATTAAGCAATAGAAGAATTCAAATACTGAGAACTTTAAGGGTTACTGCCAAAGAACATCCCAATATGTGTTCAGCAACATCTCCTGAGTACAGTGATACCACCAATGTATAGGTGTGTCGGCTTCTCTAAGGGCTTATTTGGAGGGTGCACATTTCAGTTTTCCAACTTGGAATTTTCACAGTTGGTCATCATGCACCCATGTCCTATTTGGGACATGTTTGAAGCTGGCCAGTGTAATTTACCCCCATCAAACCGTATATTTTTGAAAAGTAGACACCCTAGGGTATTTCAAATGGTGGTATTTTAACACTTTCCATGCACTAATTCTACCACCAGTCTTTATCAAACTTTTGGGTAGTCATTTTTTGGGTTATTCTTCTCTCACATTATACTTTAGGCATGCATTTTCATTTCCTGTTTTGTGTTACTGACAAAAAACACCCCAATATGTGTTCAGTAACATATCCCAAGTACAACAGTCCCCCCAATGTACAGGTTTTATGGGTTTTTGCAAATGTACAGGGGTCAAATGTAGGGCTTTCCCCTTTTCCATATTGGCACATTGAAATTTGCCAGATTAGTTTGCTGGGTCTATGTTGCCTTTTGAGACCATATAGCAGCCCAGGAATGAAAATTAACCCAATCGTGGCATACCATTTGTAAAAGTATTCAAAATGGGGTATGTCCAGGCTTTTGTAGTAGCCACTTAGCCACAAACGCTGGTCAAAGTTAGCATTCATATTAGTTTTTCGCATTTTTTTTTTTACACAAAAACTGCACTTTTACTGGTGATTTCATCGTCATGATAAGTGTTCTCATATTTGTGTTTAGCGAAGTCTCCCGAGTATAACAATACCCCCCATGTACAGCTTTTATGGTGTTTTGGAAAGTTACAGGATCAATATAGGGCTTGCCCAATTCGGTTTGCCAGATTGGTTTGCTGGGTCTGTGTTGCCTTTTGAGACCATATGGTAGCCCAGGAATATGAAATAACCCCATCATGGCATACCATTTTCAAATGTAGACAACCCAGGGTATTGCAAATGGTTATTTCCAGTCTTTTGTAGTAGCCACTTAGTCACAAACGCTGACCAAAGGGATCACCGGCGACAGGGTAAGTAAAAAAAAAAAGGAGGGCATACTATTACGCCCTGGTGGCGTTCCGAGCGCCTAAAATAGGGCGTAATAGTACACCCTCCGGTCTGAAGGGGTTAAAGGCATAATGCCTAGAATAAATGCCTATATAATATAATGCCCATATAAACCCATGATAAATCCATGATAAGTGGACACAAAAGAAATATGCATACACTATTAACTAACAATCATTAGATATTAAATATAAACTGAAAGTTCAAACATGGTCAGTGTTAGCCTTCAATATAGTGCCAAAGGCTGCAATCTTCAAAAGTGGGGAATATAAATTCAATCCTGTGTCACAAAATCGATAACAAAGAGAGAAGAAAAAAAGAGGAAAGAGAGGAAACCAGCAAGGAAAAGAGCTACCAAATAAATAGATACTCTAAATATTAAGAGAAACATAGAATAGGTATTATACTCATTAAGGCCTTTAGGTTTAACCGTATCAAGTTTAAAAATCCAATATGCTTCCCTTGGAAGCAATAGTCTAGATCTGTCACCCCCACGAGGTAAAGGAGGGACATGATCTATTGCCATGAACTTAAGTGTGGGAAGTCTATGTGAAGCTGCTAGGTAGTGTTTGGCCCCCTGCTTATCAGTTTTTTGATCCCTGAAGGCCGTCATGATACCGGACCTATGTCCTTGGATGCGATCACGTAGGGTTAGGTCCATCTTCCCTATGTAGGATAATCCACATGGGCATGTGATGAGATAAATCGCATGGTCTGTTGTACATGTGATGTAATGGGGATTGGAAATTCTTTTCCCACTATGGGGATGAGCAAAGGAGTTTCCAGAGTTCATATGGCTGCAGGTGACACAACCGCTGCATCTGTAACATCCATTTTTCTTATGCAGTGCACTTTTCTTGTAACTCTGTGTGGGATCGCCCCGAACTAAGATGTCTCTTAAGATTCTGTTTCTTTTATAACTGATAATTGGTTTCTTGCGGAATATGGAGGATAGGTGTTTATCCGAACCTAATATATCCCAATATCCCAATGTTGATAGATTTGAGGATTTGTGTGGAACCTGTATGATATGTTAGTGGTAAATATATATTCAGTGTATCCTTGCCTGGTTCCGGTTGTACTTCATTATTCTCCTGTGTCCATTTCTCGATCGCTCGGGTTTTAGCTTCTTCAAGAATCTCCAAGTTGTATCCCCTCTCCTGGAATCTGTGGGTCATCTCTTTTAGTTGACTTTCTCTGTTTTTGGAATCACTATTTTTTCCTGCACATGTAATTTGCACCAGTGAATAAACAAAACTTCTAATCAAGACCTGTGAGTGCACCTTGTATATATTTTTGTGGTTTATATATAGCGCTGAGGTTTGCACCCAGGCAAGAATACCTTTTTTCTTACAATAGGGTGAGTGCTAAGATTACTTTCTTTTTGTATATATATATATATATATATGTATATATATATATATATATATATATATACACACACACATATAATACGTGTGTATGTATGTAAATGGAAGGCGGAGCCTGTAGTTGTGGGAGGGGTTTGTCCGGCCTATAAATTCCCCTTCCTCTGGGCCAAGACTTCCTGGTTCAGTACAGAACAATCTACTTCCGGTTCAAAGGTCATCAACAGACTGCATGAACTCCAAACAATCAAGCTGGTCTTGGCCTAGTGTGGCCCACGCAAGTATTAATTTTACCTCACTCTAGTAAAAAAGCAGCCGCCTCTCTCAAAGCTCATGGGGCACTGCCACATCCTGTTGCTGTTCACGTGTTTTTCAGCAAAACCGTACGTTTGTTTGTTTTGGTCTGCGTTGGGCCACGCTATCACTGACATTCCACACGTATTCATGCCATATTTGGCATTTCACTAACTAGGGTGGCATTAGCATATTTTCCATCCTGCAGCTCAGGACTTATATTGAGCACTCTCGGCCTTTCGCTACGATACCTCTACACATGGCCCTCATTAGGCCTTCACTCCAAATGGTTACATACGGCCCTCTTCGGGCAAACCACTACAATCCAATTTCTGCCCCCCATTTGGGCATTTACATACATTTTCCTGCTTACAAGGGGAAACTACAACCCTTTCATATCACATTTTACTATTCAACATTGCCTTGCTAGGGATTCAGTTCAATCAGGTATCTCTTTTCCGGACTCATTTTGTTTTGCCTAGTTATGTACTCATTATACATAAGTTCCCTTATTTTTCTTGGTTCCCACCATTCTTACTTAACATGTTGTTGACGTATTAATCCTTAACCACAACACAAGTGTGTTATTTCATTTAGCACGTACACCATCCTGGACATATTCCCATTGTTTCTCTAGGTTCCTCTCTACTACATTCTTTCTCAAGCGCAGCCTCACTAGTTGGGCAATGTATGTACGTTCCAACATACTTTCTATCAATCCATTACGCTTCTATTCCCATACACTTCTTAGGGATAGATCAACTGGCTGCAAAGTGTTTGGTGCAGGCCACTTTCTAGTATATATATATTAATAATTCAGTCCCGCAAGGCCGACACCCACCCTCACGCAAAGGTATTTACCCATTGGCCCAACTCATAGCTAGAGCCTCACTCCAACCTCTACAGGTTATTAGATAGGGCCTCACCTGTCACGGTCAATCATTTGAATCTCTTACTTGTCACCGAGAGGCCAACATTCACACCACTTCTTACTGTGGCCTCAGTCCCTCATCCAAAATCTGGCTTCCCCTTGTATAGCTAATTTCTTCGCCATCTGGCACTTAGCGAACTGCCAGTTGATACAGGGCTACACTCTCATCGACATGCCATTACATTGACTCATTGATTATTCATCATATTATGTCTTTCACCACTAGAAGAGATTATTTCATTCCCAAGTACCCCGCCAAACCCTCCATCCCAGCTGGTCCATTGTACCCTGGTCAAGTACCAGGATACCACCAACACAGTTCCTTGTAATCCTGGACCTTTCCTAATTGTTGACAACTCCTGCGTAAAGACTTACCGCTCCCAGCTACAGCACTGTAGCCAAGCTGTACAGATTCATGATTGCTAACTATGAGCTCCCCTGCTGGGTATCTACATCCGTGCAAGTATCACAGGCAACATGGCAGAGATGCATGCTATGATGACATCCGTCCTTTCGTCATAATTATGTCCTATGATAGTCTGGAGAATTAGAGTATCCTAACTCAGGAGTTCCTAACCCTCACACAGAGTATCCCACTGTATACCCCTTACTTTTTATCCACAGGCCCTGTTTCATCCTGGGTATTCCGGTGCCCCAAGATATACCATAGTCCTATACCTGTAACATTAATAGTCGTACATCTTGAATTATTGTCAATACAGACCTGCCCCCTGAGGACAGTGCCCAGCATATCAGGAAAGACTGAGTCATTTGTTGGCAAAGGTGCCTGTTCCCATTTGTATCTCCAGTCTCTCCTTGGTTCTCTTTAATTTGCCCTGTGTATTATACCGCAA